GGGGGGGGGGGGGGGGGGGGATGCGGAGTTGTGCGGGTGTCGTCGTTGCGCCTATTCCGCCTCTCTGCAGGTGTTATACGCGCAGTGTGTACATATAAATATAATATAAATTGTAGCAGTATATACCTGTATTATACGCGTGCAAAGGGACTCTAACGGGGGTGTGTGTATGCGTGAGATATATATACAGGCGCATCCGCACCTACTCCATGTATTTGGTATATATATGTGTACGAGCAGCAGTAGCTACTGGATGGATGGAGCCGAGCAACGAGGAGCGTTTATTAACAATGAACGAGAGAGCCGAGAGCGAGCAGTTATAGTCGTTAGGGAGATGAGCGTCTCTCTCTCTCTCCTCGCTGCGTGATACGACGCGACGACGATGATGAAATTCGAAGCTGCAAGTGCGCACCGAGGCTGCTACTATACGTCCTCGTCCTCGTAGTCGGCAAAGTGACAATGGAGGAGAGCCTCATGCCGCTCGAATGCGACTGTGTGCGAGCCACCCATGGTATATACAGAGGTATAGGTATATATAGGTAGTGGTAGTAGTAGTAGAAGCAGCAGGTCGGCATGGCAACACACTGTGCTGCTGCCGCTGCTGCTATACCTACCTATATAGGTATAGCATTTCTCTTACTGCGCGAAAATATATATATACATATTATCCGTGTACAGGCGAACTCTATTTCCATAATCTGCCTGCTTTGTCGATTCTGAATTATGCGCGCGCGAGCAGTAACTGAGAGAGAGACTAAGCTACTGCTGCTGCTGCTGCTGTTGTGTAGGTGCGTGCCCTGCGCAGAGCCTCGAGTATATAAGTCCGATTATTTGCGCTCGCGAGCTCGTAAATCGATTTTGCACGAGCGATGTACCTACACCTATTGTACAATCTTAAAACTTCGCTTAGGAGCTTCCGTATACACGCGTAATTTGCATTGTTTTTTTTTCATATAAATAGCAACTTTTAGCGCGCTACAGAGACCATACCCGAGATTCGATCGCGTTATCGGAAGTCAACAAATTTTTTCATTACCGCCAATACCAATTTATAACACCTGTACGAATGAGATTTTCATTACAATTTCGGTGTAGTTCCAATGACATGCGATTCTCAGCGGTATGATACAGATCGCAGTATACACACAACTGCGCTATTTTGACGGTAGAGGGCCGGAATCGCGGTATCTTCTATTCTTCTCGCAAATACGAGAGTAAGTGAGTTCTCAGTCGCTAACGAGGAATTCGTGTAAGGTAAGGAAGTGTGTTTACAAATTGCCGAATTCGATGGCACATAACCTCAAACATTGTCTCGGAGTATTTCGTGAAAATTCAGAGTGATCACACGCGTATAATCGAACGAACGATGGAAAGCGGAGAGGACACACTTAGGTATGAAATTTTGGCGCATGCGATGATTTTCTTTCTTTGAAAATCACATCATCCACGTTTTATTATTCTTTAGAGTGAAGGAGGAACCAAATGATGCTTGGACAGGTGCAGGTGACAATGGTGGTTTCGATTCGGTGGATTCTTGCGAAGTCAAAAACTTTGGAGCATTAACTTTTCATAATTCACTAGTGAGTTTAATGCTTTTAATTGTGTTGTGATGTTTCACTATCAAATCCTATAACGCAATTTTAATTTTAGGCAAATAACACGAATGAGATTATGCCGTCAGGCGAAAAGATCGATGAAAAAATATTCATTGATGTGGAGTGCCAACATCTTAAATCTGAACTGACGTCTCCCCCGACGAGAATCTACAAAACTGAGAATGAAAATGTTTACTACGTCGAACATAGTCTAATGATTTTGATAAAGAAAGGTTTCGATTATCATAATAATTGTCAATTTCGAGTGCCTCCTCGATTGAAAATTAATGAAAATAATGACGTTAGATTCTTTAGAAAAATGTCCAAGACCAAATTATCTTCTGAATGTAAAACAAGTGGAAAAATTTACAATGGAAGAAAAAGACATGTAAATACGACACACAAGAACATTAAAACATATGCATGTGAAATTTGCCACAATTCATTTGGACTAAAAGATGATCTAAGAGTTCACATGAATAGAGTACATAATCGGATCAAACCCTTTGAAGGTGACAATTGTCACAAATTATTTATAGTAAAAAGTAACCTAAAAACTCACATGAATGCAGTAAATGATCGGAGCAAATCCTTTGAATGTGATATTTGTCAACAAACCTTTGGACAAAAAAGTAGCCTCAAAACTCACTTAAATTCAGTACACGATCGAAGAAAACTCTTTGAATGTGAAATTTGTCACAAGTCAGTAAGTCGCAAGGATCAAATCAATAGACACATAAATACAGTACATAATCGGATCAAACCCTTCGAATGTGAAAATTGTCACAAATTATTTTCACAAAGAAGCCATCTTAATGTTCACAGGAATGCAGTACATGATCGGAACAAACCCTTCGAATGTGATATTTGCCACAAATCATTCGGACAAAAAAGTAAACTCAAAAGGCACATTATGACAGTTCATGAACGGAGCAAACCCTTCGAGTGTGAAATTTGTCACAAATTATTTTCACGGAAAGGTGACCAAAATAGACATATTAGTACAGTACATAATTGGATCAAACCCTTCGAATGTGAAAATTGTCACAAATTATTTCGACAAAAATCATATCTCAATTCGCACATAAATGCAGTACATAATCGGATCAAACCCTTCGAATGTGAAAATTGTCACAAATTATTTTCACAAAGAGGCCATCTTAATGTTCACATGAATGCAGTACATGATCGGAGCAAACCCTTCGAATGTGATATTTGCCACAAATCATTCGGACAAAAAAGTAAACTCAAAAGGCACATTATGACAGTTCATGAACAGAACAAACCCTTCGAGTGTGAAATTTGTCACAACTCATTTTCACAGAAGAGTGACCTCAATCAACACATAAGTGCAGTCCATAATCAGAGCAAACCCTTCGAGCGTGAGATTTGCCGCGACTCATTTGGATACAAAAATGTACTCAAAAAACATATTGCGAAAGTACATAATTAAAGACAACCCTGAGTGCAAAAAGCAGTGAAGATTTTGCAATAACATAAGTATGAAACTTAATTTTGGACAAGATTTACATTGATATTATTCAATTTCATAAAAAATAGTAAAATATCTCAAGCTGTTATCAATTTCAATATGATTGTAAAAAATACTCAATTCACCTTTTTTTTCATAAAATCAATTCTTTGTACTTTTTGTCTTGAATTCTTTTTTTAAAGAACTGTTGCTGAACCTATCTTTCAACATCTTATTTGTCATTTTTCCTAAAATACCTGCTTTCTATTGGTATACGAGCAGATCTTGTCGACCTTGAACCAATAATAATACATTAATTATGCTGGAAAACCTCGAAAGTCGATTTCCGTAAACGTGGAAGATTTTATAACTGTCATCGCAAATTGTAAAAATTAATCTCACCCAATGAAAAGTATCGTAAATACATCCACACACTGAATGTATCAATTAGTTCACGAATGTAAAAAAAAGAGCATCTAAAGGTCAACGCGTAAAAGTAATAAAAATTTCATCAATGATTGGTTGCTTACATAAACAGTCACCATCCAATATTCTTCGCAAGCATCTATACCAGACGGTTGAAAACTCGGGTGCCATCTCAACGATTCGAACGACCAAACACAAGTTTATTGCGATGACATCACTTTTTGAAGAGAGGATAAAATAAAATAAAATATAAGAAATGCCAATAATAGTAATACAAAGGAAAATAAAGGTAGAGTTATCTTCTTTATAATTATAGACGCAACTGCCGCCAATATTTTACTACTACCTGACGCTCCAATGACTGATTGAACTTCGTTTCTAATATTATCTGTGCAACATACCGATATATTTCTGTTTCATGTGAATTTTTCTCAAAATATATCGCTTGTATGGGTAAGCTAATTCTGCGCCTGAATCACATCTTCATTACGATTTCGGTGTAGTTTTAATGACATGTGAATCCCTCTATGTATTGAAATACGAAACGGCATACGGCCAGTCGTCGATGGAGGGGGCAAAATTTCGCCAAGGAGCCATAACAATTATCGTGGGATATCCTCGCTAATATTCGTGTAGTGTGTTCAGGCGTAGCAAAGTGCTAGTGTTTACAAATTCGTGAAATCGATGTACAGTGTTATTGTCTGCTTGAGGCGTTCAACCTCAAATATATTTTTTCTACGTATGAAGTGAAAATTCGCAGTGATTGCAGTAATCAAACAAACGATGAATAGCCGAGAAAACATAATTAGGTATTACTTTTTTTTATCGTGCAATTATATTTTTTGAAACGATTGCTTTATCAAACTCCATTACTCTTTAGAGTGAAAGAAGAGCTTAGACCAGAAGACACTTGGCCAGATGCAGGCGGCGATCATATTTTCGATGCAGTGGACTCTTGCGAAGTAAAAAACTTTAGAACACTGACATTTTATGAACAATCGGTAAGTTTGATAATTAAAATTATGCTCTGTTTTTCAAAAATCAAAAACTATTGATCTTACAGGAAAAGTTGAATGAAAAAATATTCGTTGATTTTGAGTGCAAAGATGTTAAATCTGAACTGAAATCTCTACCAGCTACCATCTGCAAATCGGAGCATCAAAGTTATCCATCCATTGTGAAAATAGAAAATCAAATTCAGACCAATTATTTGAAAGATGAAGATCTGATGATTTTACCAAAACAAGAATTCGATCATGATCATAATTGTCAATTACAACCCAATTTTCGATTGAAATGTGGTCAGTCCAAGAAGGTGAAAAATTTAAGAAAAACGTCTCGGACCAAATTATCTTATGAGTATAAAATGAGCCAAAAAACATTTAAAGGAAAAGTGATTTTGAGAAGTAAGATGAAGCACAAGAACAATATAGCATATGATTGTGAAATTTGTCACAAATCATTTGATTACCAGAGTATTCTCAAACGTCACGTCGAAACAGTACATAATCGGAGCAAACCCTATGGATGTGGAATTTGTCATAAGTTATTCAGCCGCAAAGAACACCTTAACAATCACGTAAATTCAAAGCATAGTGAGGAAAAACCCTTCGAGTGTGACATTTGTCACAAATTATTTGGACAAATAAGTAACCTAAAAACTCACATAAATGTTGTACATAATCGAATCAAACCCTTCGAGTGTGACATTTGTCATGAGTCATATGGCCGCAAGGGTACTCTCAAGGATCACATAAATGCAGTACATGAACGGAGCAAACCCTTCGAATGTAAGACTTGTCAAAAATTATTCGGGCGAAAGAGTACTCTTAACAATCACATCGATCTAGTACATAATAAGGAAAAACACTTTGAATGTGACATTTGTCATAAGTCGTTTATCTGCCAAAATATCCTCAACAAACACATACATTCAGTACATAATAAGGAAAAACCCTTTAAATGTGAGATTTGTCACAAATCATTTGGATATAAAGTTCATCTCAAACGTCACACGAATACAATCCACGTTCGTAGCAAACCCTTCGCGTGTGATATTTGCCACAAATCATTCGGACTGAAAGCAAACCTCAAAATTCACATAAATGGAGTACATGAACGTAGCAAACCCTTCGAGTGTGATATTTGTCGCAAATCATTTGGATACAAGAATGTAGTCATAAAACACATTGCGAAAGTACATAAGCAAACCTTAGTAGCGTAAGAATTTTCCGGCGCCATTCGGATCCAATGAAGACTTCTACAATCACATACTTAATTTTGAACAAGAACATATTTCAAACTGTTATTTATTTTATTGTGATTGTAAAAAATACTTGATTGAATTGTCGTACATAAAATCAAATTATTTCTTTTTTCCGTCTTGAATTAATTCTTTAATGTTTTGCTGTATAACCGATCTTTCGACAGCTTATTTATCATTTTTTTCCGAAAACGTCTGCTTTCCCATGTGTACGTGAGTAGATCCTGGTCTTGAATCAATAATAATTAGTCATCAACACAGCCGAACTCGTTGATAAAAAAGTTCTACAAGTGTAGTGATAATTCGGCCCATTCGATACAAAGTATATCTGACCACGAGTACACCCTCGCTTCGCATGCATAAATTCATGTTATACGTAAGTATGTAAATATGCACATGCGCTGTATAGTGTCAATTCGCTGTACTGCGTCGTACGATGACACGACCGGGTCACATATCTCTGCTCCAAGTGAGACGATTGTTTTTCGTTTTTGTTTTCTCGAATTACTCATACGGACTACATACTGGATATATCTATTTTTGAAGTATCATAAAATATTCATAAATTCGCGTCGGGCTGCACTCTTCTGTTAATCGAAGCATGCGTAAAAACGAGAGAAAACGAGTCGTCGTCGTCGTCGTCGTCGTCGTCGTCGTCGTCGTGTTTGTTCTATATTAATATAATACTATCGCTCTCTCAGCGAAGCCACGCAGCAAAGTCGAATAACGAGTCTCTGTCTCTCCATCAGCGAGGCTACTCGATGTCCTACTAGAAGCTTCTTAACGCGCTCTAGCCTTTTCGCGCGCGGTGTGCGCATCGTCGTGCCGCGTTCTCGTCTATCTTTGAAGCTTTGAGTTCTTCAAATAAAATTAAAAAAAAAAAAAAGAAGTGAAGAGCAAACATAATACTCGTACGCTACGTGTACCCCCCACCTGCAAAAGAGAGAGAGACATTCTCATCGGGCAATTTCTCGGGTGTACAACATTCGCATACGTAATGTAAAAATGGCTTTATTAAACGGACGAGCTGACAAAAGGCCTCGAGGCCTCGGCTGCGTTGTGCGGTCAGCGCGCGTATCGTAAAAAAGACAAGCTTGCCCGCTATACGTGGACGCGTATCTAGTTACATCGGCAATAACGCACAATAAGAAGAAGCAGCAGCAGGGCTAATCGAGTAAAATTGAATATTCCCGCCGCTCGTTCGAAACCAGACGAGGTGGTAGCTCGATGTAGTCTGCCCTCCTGCCGAGAGGAGCTGCTATACGTATACGAGCTTGCACTCGTATGTGCATGTCTGTGTGTGTGTGTGCGATTTACACATGCAACGTATTGAATCGCTGGAGGTCGTGGCTGTCTCTGTGTCTCTCTTTGGCTTTGTGATGGCACTTGTCGAGAGGCAAATGGGCGAGACTCGCACTGGCGATTGTTCTCTCCGCTGCTGCTGCTATTGCTGCTGTTGTGTAGTCGAGCGCCCGAACACACACTGCACATATTACAGCGCTGCAGTGTGTACATGGGTATATATACGTGTTTGCTCTCGATGACAATAAGTGCACATAGTTCGGCTATCTATATGCATGTGTACACGTACACAATGCACATCGGAGATCGTTGCCCCCCCCCCCCCCCCCCCCCCCCCCCCCCCCCCCCCCCNCCCCCCCCCCTCCTCACCTCCGTAATGTACGGGATAGATGCTATATAATGCATTGTATGCGTATTGCTCTGCATGTCGTACGATCGTTGCTGTAACGTTATTAAATATGTACCCGAGCGATGGACGGTCTCCGATGTAGATTGACGCACGAGCACGCCTATCGATAAGCAACATTTTTTTATTGAAAAAAAATTAATTCGATGGGTCCTCGAGAGGAAGAAAGAAGGAGACGAAATCAATTCTATACCGATTGAAGTTTAAAGGGTATACAATAGCAGAGGTATTCTGGCTTGTAAATCTTGTTTCGTCTTTTTATGCTAATCGGACAATTTTCCGCCACTTGCGAGTTCGCGATGCTCCATCTGTCGATAGAATCAGAAAAGCTCAAAATCAAAACAAACACCAGCTTCGATCACGGTCGATTCGTGTTAGAACGCGCCACACGAATTTCGAAATATCATTCGCTCGTCATTTTTGTGCGCAAAAGTACAATTTCATTTTTAAAATCAGAGCCACTACATCGATATCCATATAAATGTCAATTAGTCGGAGGCCTATATGGACCGAGTGTAATCCCTTTTTCGTGTATAGCGCGCAGCGATCCGACTCGCGCGACATAATGGTATTATATTCGGGGTACGCGACGAGTTTGCTGCGCGCGAGGGGGTGTGCTCGCGCGTGACCGCCAATACGATTCCGGTATTAAATCCAGCGAGAGAGATAGAGAGAGATACGGAGTTAAGATCTCTTCTCCAGTCATTTGGGCATTTAATCGAAGAATTTGCGAAGCAATCGACTTGATTACGGTGTACGTTTCTCTCCCACGAAGTCGGACACAGGACGACGTGGTAAATTTCATTATTAGACGTATCGTATTCGCATCGTATGCACGCACAAACACACACACTGGCTGAATTACATTAGCTAGCTCAAACACTCGAACCATAAAGGCAACGAAGAATAAGAATGATAAAAAAAGCTCTTGGTATATATATCGAAATAACGAACTTGTGGGCATTGTACGAGCCCCGTTGACCGTACAGCTATAATACATAATGTACTCTGCCCTCGGACACATTGTTATACAAACGCTATTTATACAATATATCGCACAAGAGAGAGAGAGAGAAGTTCATAAGTGAAATTCTTCTGTATCTTTCGGGCGAGAGAAGAAAAGAACAACAACAAGAGAGAGAGATAAAAAAGTAAGGAAGGAAGGAAGGAAGTTCTCAAAAGCGGTGCATTATACAATGTGTGTGTGTCTACTGCGCAGCATCTCGAAATAACGAGTTCACGTGTGTGTACATAATGTAATATTGTGCATAACGTTACATAAATGCGCCGCGAAGTAAGAGGAGGAACGCACGAGGTAGACAAAAGTCAGCAAGTTAGAATGCGCACATACACACGTATCTCTGTCTCTCTTTCACCTTACTTAACTCTCGGAGACTCGAGCAAGTAACCCAAAGTGAGGAGTTACACGACAAGAGAGTCGTACATTGTTTGCGATATTATAATAAACTATATTATACACGCAATTTTTCTCGTGTGTGTACACATTGTCACGATTTCTGCTGCAGCAGTAGTGGACATTGTTTGCGCGCCGACTACTAAATTTTTGCACGTAGCCGCAGCAGCACATCGTACCCTTTTTTTTCATTCATTCGTTCTTCCTTTCTTATATGTATCCTTCTCAAAGTCCGGCGCGCGAATATACATAATATACATTATATATCCCTTTGCCGCATTCTATATTATATTCGACCCCCGATCGAGCGAAGAAGAAGAAGACGCGAGCGATGGTCGTCGTCCTCGGGGTGGTGGTGGTGGTGACGGTGGTGGTATATGTGTATGCGAAGAGGAGATATATTCAATGGAGTGTCCATCCGGTGTGTGCGGTGGATGCTCTCTCGCTCCTTTTTCTCTGTCAAAAGAGAGACTCGAGTGAGTGTTGCGGGCTCTCTCGTCTTATAATATGTATATGCGCTCTCTCTTTCTCTCTCTCTCTGCTCGAGACACTCCTCTCTTTTCAGCAGCAGTAGCAGCACACGAGTTTAGCCCGTTTCTTTTCATCCGTTTGTGTATTTCGCGCGCGCGCGCGGTAGCAGGCAGAAAGCTGCCGGTTTTTCGCGACCGTTTATATACATACATACATACATACATACAGTAATAAAGGCATGAAGTAGTGGCAGTGGTGGTGGTGGTGGTGGTGGTGGCTACTACTCGTACGCCACGCTGCGTTGCGCTTGCGGACTCGTAAAACGATCTTCACATACACGCACACACGTACGAAGGTAAATGCCCTGCAGCTTCTCTCTCGTGGACCGGCGCGGAGCATTGTTATCCCTGAAAAAGAGTGAAGGAAAAGAGAGAGAGAGAGAAAGAAAGACTCGCATTAACGCTCTAAAGTTTCTTTTATTATTGCCTTTGAGCCTTGAGAGAGAGAGAGAGAGAGAGACTGTCTTCTTCTTTCTCTTTGCAGCACTCACGCTGCCCGCGTATCCGTTATAGCTTTATATACGTGTATTTTTTATCATCATTATTATTATTATATTCAGCTTGCCTTTTACGAAATCCACGATACAATAACGACGCGTCCATGGGTCGGAATTAATTTTTTGATTCTCCGCGCGCGAAACGAGGAGAGGACGTAGGCTCGACCCCCCGCGCAGGCACGCAACTACAGCATTTATATACAGCTGAGCAAAAAAGGCAGTTGCAGTGCGCACGGAGCTCGTTATCATTGTCATTATAAAATCGACCGAACAAGGCAAACCGACGAATTGGATCTATTTCGAGAAAGTCAGAATAGACAAATGTAATAAATAAAATTAAAAGCTGCGGTACAGCGAGCGAGCCATCATAATAACAACAACTTGATACTTTCGATCGGAAATACATACGCGCGTGGGCGAAAGAGAGAGAGAGAGAGAGCGAAAGTTGAAATTTGCAGACAGGCAGGCAGGCAATCACAACTGCGCTCGGGCACCGGCAACGGAGGCTCCTATTGTTCGGCCTCCATTGTTTCAATATCTCGGGGCGGTGCTTCTTATTGTTGCCACCCTTTGTGTACACCTTTGCGCACACGAGGCGCACACCGGAATACGCAACTCTCTTTCTCTTTCTCTCTCTGCGTATTGTGTACATGCGCATTATATAACTCGCGCCTGTTTCTTCTTTTCCTCTTTCTTCT